GAATACTTGACACACAGACATGAGAAATATATCTATGGAAAGCTTGAAGTGTCTACTTTTAAATGAATATATATATATATATATATGAATGTGTGTGTGTGTGTGTGTATCATAAGGCAGTTTAATCTTTTAAAATTAATATTTTTTTCCAAACAGAAAAAAAAAAATCCAATTGCATATGCCTAATCGATTAAAAATAACATTCATGAATTATAAAGGAGCCTAAAATGCTCAACCCAGCTTAATGTAATTCACAACATTCTCACAAATATTGACAAAAATACAACCGGAAGTGTTTATTTTTCTTTCTCTCTCAGCTTTTCATATCAGCTGGAATTGAAACATTCCCAGTCGGTCCCGGCGAGCTTCAGTGCGGTGCGTCTGCTGCCGGGCTGGGTCTACGGGGGCAGCTCCACAGTCCTGGATGCCATGCTGCGATTGGACCAGTACCAGCGCCAACTCCTGCCAGGCCTTTTCTGTGTCAATCTGGACCTCCGAGGGTCTTTCACCACCAGTTCGGCTCACCCCAGTGCCTCCAGCTCCCTGAGCCACCAAGACGCAATAGAGGGTCTCACCATGCGTCCCATTGGAGCCCCGAACACCAGCCTGCTCCCTTAACCACGGGGCCTGACAGACCATTATATCCCACAATGCACTGTGATGATGCACAGGAACTTTGAGGTGAACATTTCAGTGTCTGATGGTCAGCAGAAAGAAAAATGCTTTGCAAATCTTTGTGAGAAGTTTGATTCTGTCTCAGTTGAAAAAAGAGGTTTTGAGAATTACAATTAAGAAAATGTCAAAGAAATGCAAAAAGAAAACACAGCCAGAGAATGTATTTAAAAGATATTCTGCACTTCATTAAATGTTCTTGGTTCAAGACAATTTAAGCATTTTTGGCATACTGTCCATTACCACAGAGAAAAAAAAGAAAAAAAAATCATATGTATGTACTGTGTATATGAAGAGTTCAGATGCAAAAGCCTCTAAGTGCCATCTGATATATGTATGTATGTATGTGTATATATCTCTTTTGCATGACATGCAAGGAAAGGCATTTTTATTAAGGTGGGGCAAAATCCACTTACACATGAATCATGTCAGTAATATCGCATAACCAGAAGTTCATCCACCTAGAAAACCGGTCTCTCCTCAAAAACATCCTTTACAGCTTAAAAAAATAAACTTTTTGATGAATAATTCATGTAAGTGCATTAACAAAAATACAAGCTTCACATTTTTGCTTACTTCTATTTTAAGTGCATTACTGTATTTCTAAAGAACAGGACAAAAATGGAGCTAAATCTGTATTGAACCAAGTACATTCTTTAAAGACGGAACAGAAAGAAACGTAATTTCTCTCAGAATGTCCTTGAATGTGTCTCGTGTGTCTTGGTTCATCAGTATTTGTGTTTTGAAGGCACCTCAGCATAGTTTCAAACCTGAAAAAGTAAAGTGATGTGAGGCTGTTTCTGAAGGTTTATGCATGCAGACTGGTTCAAAGCAAACCATGTGACCATATGCCCTGGCAATGCAACATCAATGCTGCTACTGTGCTGTACTGTCACGTGTTTATGTCTAAAGCATATTTCTTGCTACTTTTTGTACTTGTTGTAAATGCACCTTCTTGTTTTTTTTCTTGTTTGAAATGGTTGCCAGCCACAGATTAAGGTTAGTGCTGGACTAAACTAATCTGTTAATCTATTGTAAATGCTTCAAAATCTGGGATTTGGCTTTAAGTGTGAGCCAGACAGTAAAAGACACCTCCTAAACTGCATTTCTGCTCAGTTACAGTATTCTAATGTGAATGTTTAACAGACCTAATAAAGTTTTGACTTAAGAGTTCAACTGTATTTATGATTTATTGAATATGTATTCTCTTAAATTTATTGAATGTATTCTTTTTTGTGTGTGCAGTATATCAGCAAATAATAATCTTATTATCAAGCTTTTCACATGCTATAGGTTGTTTTGAACCTTAAAGGTTCTACAACCAAAAGGAATGTTATAAGGTTCTGCTGTTTATTTTTAGGTGTTCGTTACTTTTAGTTTTATATTTTCCATTGCTGTTCCAAACTGTAAGTGTCTGGGGAACCTTTGCAAACATCTCTTGACTTTCACAGCGCTGCTTTAAAAGGAAGGCGATCCGCTACCCACTGCGCCACAGCTCCGACTGATCGTCAAGTTCACGTGCGTGAGTTACTGCGTCATCACGGCCCTGCGTTTCTATTGGCTGATGAAGTTGCGCCCGATTCCACCGCTCCGCGCTTCTTCTTTTCGCGCCCGGCAGAGGGCGCCTCTCCTCCTCTCTGATTCATTTTAGTGAATCGGTTCATTCGAACGATTCGTTTCAGTGGACACTCCAGTTCTCCAGTTGCGCTATTGCTTGGCGTTTTTTGTTGTAAAATCGCTGTTTTCGATTACTGATATATGTCACCCTGGACCACAAAACCAGTCATATTTATACATCATCTGAAAGCTGAATAAGTAAGCTTTCCATTGATGTATAGTTTGTTAGGATAGGACAATATTTGGCTGAGATACAACTAGAAAATCTGGAATCTGAGGGTGCAAAAAAATCTAAATATTGAGAAAATCGCCTTTAAAGTTGTCCAAATTAAGTTCTTAGCAATGCATATTATTATTACTAATCAAAATTAAGTTTTTATATATTTACGGTAGGAAATTTACAAAATATCTTCATGGAACATGAACTTTACTTAATATCCTAATGATTTTTGGCATAAAAGAAAAATGGATAATTTTGACCCATACAATGTATTGTTGGCTATTTCTATAAATATACCCGTGCTGCTTATGACTGCTTTTGTGCTCCAGGGTCACATTATTATGTCGTTAACACGATTATTAAACTCTATTATTCAGTAATTTTAATGGAGGCGACTTTTATACGGGTTTATTGTAGTACAGGTTGGACTGAACTGAAAAAAAAAAAAAACGAAAAACTATTTTTTCGTTTTTTGACTATTCAGTATAGTTGATGATCGATAAGAAACTGATAATGAGTATTTGTGACCCTGGAGCACAAAAGCAGTCATAAGCAGCACGGGTATATTTGTAACAATAGCCAACAATACACTGTATGGGTCAAAATTATCCATTTTTCTTTTATGCCAAAAATCATTAGGAAGTAAAGATCGTGTTCCATGAAGATATTTTGTAAATTTATTACCATAAATATATCAGTGATGTATAAATCGCAATTTCAAAAAAATTGACCCTTATGGCTGGTTTTGTGGTCCTGGGGAACATTTATGTTTTGTCGAACCTCCTCAGCGATTGATTCACAAACCCGAATCAGTTCGAGTGAATCATTTAAAAGAATCGGCTCAACCGAACAATTCGTGAATCAGACATCACTTGTCTGATGCACTGAAACTCCCCGGGAGAGACCGAGGGAGGAAGATGGCGGCCACTGACCGTTCCCGGTCCGAAGCGGCAAAGCAGCGGCGGCAGGATCAGCTGCAGCGGTGGCAAGGCTCGGAGACGGATCGGACCGGGGCTGAGGCGAGGAGCCTGTGCTCCGCTCCCGGAAACCGACGGGCCAGAGTGCGCTTCGCCCAGGGCGCTGTGTTCATGGCCGCCTGCTCCGCCGGGGACCGGGAGGAGGTGGCGGAGCTCCTGCGACAGGGAGCAGATATCAACCACGCCAATATAGACGGGCTGACGGCGCTGCATCAGGTATCCGGAGCATGTTTGCTTGTTCACACTGAAGTTTGACTCGGTTTGGAAACTTTTGCCAAAGTTCACAAACTTTTCTCCTGTGGGTCGATGACAAGCAAGGATGTCTAACTCAGTGGTTCCCAACCCTGGGCCTGGAGGCACCCCAACACTGTACATTTTGCATGTCTCCTTAATCAAACACACCCGATTCAGGTCATCAGCTCATTAGTAGAGACTCCAAGACCTGAAACTGGTGTGTGAGAGAAAGGAGACATGCAAAATGTGCAGTGTTGGGGTGCCTCAAGGACCAGGGTTGGGAACCACTGGTCTAGATGATAAACAGGAGAAAACTCTTAAACACCTATTTTAATATCTGCCAGAAATGTTATCTTTGTGTTCATTTTTTCATACGTTTTTGGGGAAAAAAATTATACCACTTTATACAAAAAATATGACGTTTAATAATGTTAATGATGGAAGCAAAAAATGGCTTTTCATAAAGAAATTATAATATGTGATATTATTAAAAACTTAAAGGAATAGGGTCTAAAGGGGTCTTCTGTGTTTTAGGTGCATGTTTGTTATGCCACACTGACTTCGATTTGGCAGACAAATGTTTTCACATATTAATTATATTTTGAAACAAAATGGGTGCTTATTTTTAATGACGTAACATTAAAAAAATAATCCAACTACTTCTGCCAACGTTTTTTTGTTTTCATTTAAAACGACATTTTTCTTCGACCATTTACGCTGCCGAGACAATTGTGACTTTTTTTAGTTTCTCACAATTAATATAAAATATATACTCCCAATTCTTAGATGAAAAATCTGATTTGTGAGGTATAAACTTGCAATTGTGAGGACACAAGTCAAAATTGTGAGATAAGTCGTAGTTACCTTTTTAAAAAAATGTTTTAAAAGAGACAAGGAAACAAAAAAAACAGAATTGTGAGATTTAATCTCAGAATTCAGAGAATAGCATCAGAATTGTGAGAGAAACTTGGAATTGTAAGATGTAAATGTAGAGTTTAAAAAAAAAAAGTTAGAATTCTGAATTTTTTTCTGAAATTCTGAGTTTTTTACCCCAGAATTCTGAGTTTACATTTCGTAATTCTGTGTTTAAGTTGCAGTTATCTTATTTCTATAGATTTATTCCCTGGCAGAAACAGGCTTTCATACTGTACATTTTTGACGTAAAGCTGCACCAAAAAAAACACAAAATTACTTAAATTCACAAATGTAAACATATTAATTGTAGAAAAGGTGTATTCGAGCACATTTTTGTATAATTCTTAATGTATTAAGAAATGAGCATCATTGACCTCTATATAATATATCAAACATTCTATAAAGTATTATTTGGTTTAACTAGTTCATTTTAAACAGACATATTAAAGTGGCGATTTAAACCTAAAGTGACTTTGAAACTCAGTTGCAAACTGTACAAACTTTTAAATGCCCAAAGTCTAGAATCGCATTGGCTGTTTTAGGCCTGAAGTCTGATATTTTGACGTGTGTGTACTATTATAATATGACAAACTGTATTTCAAGGACATATTTAGTTTTAGTGGTCTTGTTGTTGGGTTGTCTTGCTGGCGTGGTTTCACTTCTGGACTAGTTGTGTTCCTCTGGCACAGATGAATCTGGACTCTCTGTGTAGTAGTTTGCAAGATGTTCTTGCAGTACCAGGGTTGCTGTTGTTGTTTTAATGCCGTCCAGGGAGTGTCTTGGGCCCGTCCCGAGTCACGTTTAATGTGGCGACTCCACCGTACCAGCATCCAGACTGAACTGGCATAGCAAGACTTTCCTCATATCTTCTGAGCTGGATCAGAGAATGGCTGGAATTCACGCCGGCCCTTTTCATTCGCTGTTTGTTTTTGTTTTGTTCTTTTTTCCTCTCAGCTGTGTATGTTTTTTTTTTTTAATGACATGTTTAGGAGGGGTTATTTTTGGCTTTTGTTGTCTCAGCCTTTTGTTCCGACAGTAAAGTTTTCTTCAGAAACCAGCTAATCCTGATATAGAGCTTTGAATGAGAAAAAGCCTGTTTTTTAGTTGAAAAATTATAGTATGTTTGAGGTAATTGTTATGTCTGCTTGAATCTATTATCACAAGCTTCTCTTGAAGAGAGCCACTCAAAAAACAGCAGAAGGTTTTGCTCAACTCCACTCTAGGCTTGAAAAAATATGAAGTGCACGCTTTTTTGATTCAGACAGGTGGTAATGTGGTTACATAGCGAGGGCAGCTATTGGCTGGCGCTCTGCTGATGTTTGATTGAAGTATTCTGAAGTTCTGTGGAACAGTGGCTTTGAGTCTCACATGAGCTCTTCAAAGTGATTGTAGTCACCTGTGTACCACGCATTCTCTAATCTATCGTAACCAGGAACAAGTCATATTTCTATGGAAGCCTGTTTTTGCCACAGGATATAAAAATAAAAAGGCAATGATGATTTTTTTTAAATCTCACAATGGGAATAGAATTGTAAGAAATATTTTTCTCGCAATTCTGAGTTTACATCTTGCAGTTTCTGACTTTTTTTTTTTTTTCAGAATTCTTACTTTATATCTCAGAATTGTGAGATATAAACTTAAAAACTTTCCTCATTTGTAAGTCGCTTTGGATAAAAGCGTCTACTAAATGACTAAATGTAAAATTGTAAGGAAATTAAGTCCAAGTTGTAAGGTAAAGGTTGCAGTTACATTCATTCATTCACTCACAAACAAGCTTCCATATATTTCACCCCAAAATAGAACGGAATTATATTTTTCAAATGGTTTGCTATACATACACAAACACACACAAATATAAATATACAAATACAAATGTGTTAGTTAAATTATATAAATTGAGTCTTTTTTTTTTTTAGGACCTTTAGGATTTTTAGCATTATTTTTATGACAGTTAAACACATTTTCCTCTCAAATTTCTCTTTCCGTAGTGCAAGAAAAAAAATGGATACATTTATTTATGTTGTAAAGAATTGATACATCATGATAGTCTATATTGTATTGCATTTAATTTGATATTTATTTTATAAAAACGTTGGAAATGAATTACAATGATTTTAACAATGAATTGTAAATATTTTTATTTTTATTTGTAATATATAATTAATGTGTTATCTAAAAATAGGCTATTTATATGTATGTATAAATTAAATTAAGAAATAATTAAGAAATAAATAATGAATTATTACTAATTAAACATTAAAATACTTAAGGTTTTTATATCTAATTTATGTATATATATGTCTGTCTGTGTGTGTGTGTAAATGTGTATATATATGTATATATGTGTGTGTGTGTGTATAATGTATAAATTAAAGTGGGCTAATAATTCAAATTTTATAGATAGATAAATAGGTTTTAACACATGAACTACGAGAAATATTGAATGTTTAGGCTGGATTTATGAGATACAATAATACACTAGTCACTGTCTGAGTGTGTTTCTGTCAGCGTATCTTAGTGTGTACGGTGTTGCCATGACATGAATATGCAGAAATTCATGAGAGCATAAAATAAAATGAAACCACAGTTTCTTGATTGCTAACTGGGAACACACAGCCTGTGTGTGTGTGTGTGTGTGTGTGTGTTTGGCTCTGGACAGAATCAGTGTCACATTCTGTCAAAGACACTGTTTTGGCCTCTACACACACACACACACACACACACACACGTCCTCTCCGTCACAGATAGAGTTACAGCGATGGTTTGCCTTCCAGTGGTCCTAAAGTAAACAGCCGTTCGGTTCACAGATGGACAGGATGGAGGATTGTGAGCAGATCTTCTCTTAAAGGTTCCTCAGAAGAACCACCAGCTTGAGTCAGTCCTCGGCATTTATGTATCTTATTTATGTATGTTGTATATCTCAGCAATGCAATTGTTATTATTTTCAAAATGTATAATAATTTATGGAAATTGTAGCTTTGTAGCTATAAAGGACACTTTATAGCCAATTGAATTACCATATTAAATTTTTAATTATACCATTATTAATACATTTATTATACCATTATATTTATACCATATTAAAGTATTTTGGAAAGTTTGGACGCTGTTTGTCCTGACTTATATTCATTTTCATATTTATAAAATGGAGAGTTCTGGTCCTAAATACTGATTGGTTAGTACATCTTTCTAGTTTAATTATGTTGCATATATTTTATTTAGTTTAATTATTATTATTTAGTATTTTTTTTCCATATTTATATTCCTGTTAGCATGGATGCAAAAACATATCAGATTTGATTGATAAGTATATAATTATTTTCATGCTGTGGCTTCTGACCAATAATGGTAGATATGTAAACATACACTTTTTGTCCAAAATAAATAAATAAATAATAAAATAAAGGGTTAAACTTATCCTGTAATCTTGTGCTGCACCTTTAAAGTTATCGATAGGTGTTGTATAAAGTGATATTAAGTCTAAAACGATTAAGTCTTGAGATTCCACAATAAAATATACAACATCAGCAGATAAGTTTGTAGTCATATTCATATTTGTATTTGCACATATAATTATATTAATATTTTTTGGTATTCTTATTTATATTCACATTGTATTTTTGTATTGTACATTCCAGTTTTATTTTAGTATCATTATAGTGCTCCTTAATATTTTGGATCAGTTTTTATCACTTTCATTTTAGTTTTAGTAATTTTGTTGTGTTTTTTAAAATATATTTATGTCTATATAGTTTATTCATTTTTATTGCAGTTATTTTAGTAAAAAAAAAAAAAAAAAAAGTAAAGTAAAAATAAAGTTTTTAAAATATTTTATTTCAGTTAACATTTTTATTTTATTTCAAGTAATGAAAATGGTTTTAGTTAACTATAATTACCCTAGTACATTAATAATCATGTTTATATTTTGTGTTTATTTTAATAATCGTTGCGTGTGTGATGATGCTCTGTCGCTGCTCATCCCGATCTCGGTCCTGTTGTCCCGTTGTTGCTCGGTAACAGGAATTAAATATAGTCAGTGCTCTTTAAGTTTTTCCATGCCTTCCAATCCAAAGGCTTTCTCTCTCTGTCGTTCTCCAGTGAGCGCATGGAAAACATTCTTCATGCTCTCTGAGTCATACACACACACACACACACAAACACGCACTCATTCAGTGACCCTGTCAAGAACTTCACACCTTCTCCATACAGAAGGTTCCCAGTGTTCCTCAGAAACCCACACAAACACACACAATGAGGAAGGAGGCAGGAACAGAGCGGCCTTCTGTTCTGCTGCACACAGATAGCAGAGCGAGCGCAGCGTACGTGGAGATTTCTATAGGCACTCCTCTGGGAGCCGCTCGCTTTGGCTGTTAAGCCTTTTTCCCCTGTCGTGCCTAAAAACACACGTTTTATCAGTGGTAAAATCACTGTAACGTGGCCTGTCTGCTGTTTGCAGTAGCATAATGCCTGCGGATTCTTAGATATTAAAACTAGCTAAACAATGTACAAGCTGCACTACAATGTACTAACAAGTATTTTCTACGTTTTTTAGTTACGTAGGTATCATTAGATATGATAGCTATATAAATAAAAATATAATTAAAAAGTGGCCTCTTAAATAGCTTGATGGCTACTTATTGTTAGTGACTTTATTTTTATACACTACCGTTTAAAAGTTTGCAGTTGGTAAGAATTTTTTATGTTTTTAAAAGAAGTCTCTTCTGCTCATTAAGGCTGCATTTATGTGCTCAAAAATCCAGTAAAAACAGTAATATTGTGAAATATTATTACAATTTAAAAGAGCTGTTTTCTATGCGAATATATTTTAAAATGTAATTTATTTCTGTGATGCAAAGCTGAATTTTCAGCATCGTTACGCCAGTCTTCAGTGTCACATGATCCTTCAGAAATCATTCTGATATGCTGATTTGCTGCTCATAAAACATTTCTTATTAATATAAATGTTGAAAATAGCTGATTACTGAATAGCTGAATAACTGCATTTATTTGAATCTTTTGTTATTTTATGAATGTCTTTACTATCACATTTGATCAATTTAATGAGAATAAAAGTATTAATTCCTTCCTGAATAAAAGTATTCATTTTAAAAAATCTAACATTAGAATTATATGTAATTATATGGTTATATGTATTTCTTTCTTTATTAATTTACCTTGTATTACTTATTTAACTTACTGACTTACTTTATTACATTACTTACTAATTCAGGTCATGTTGACCATTCAGTTACTCACTTTACTTACTTAGTTACTTTACTTACTAACTCAGGTCAGTTTACCGTTCAGTTACTTAAGTTACTTTACTTACCTTACTTAGTTGCTTTACTTACTAACTCAGGTTAGGTTGACCATTCAATTACTCACTTTACTTAGTTACTTTACTTGATTACTTTACTTACTAATTAAGGTCACTTACTTAATTCACTTAATTAGTCACTTACTTTACTTATTTACTTTACTTACTAACTCGGGTCATATAATTACTTAATTTACTTACTTAGTCACTTACTTTAACTTAATTTACTTAGTTACTTTAATTACCATACTACTTGACTTACTAACTCAGGTCTGGTTGGGTCTTAGATACTTAGGTACTTACTTTACTTACTAAGGTCAGGTTGACCATTTGATTACTCACTTTACTTGGTTACTTAGGTACTTTACTTACTTTACTAACTCAGGTCAGTTACTTAATTTACTTACTTAGTCACTTTACTCAGTTTACAGTTACTTTCTTTACTTACCTTAGTTACTTTACTTACTAACTAGAGTCAGTTTATCGTTCAATTACTTAATTTTCTTACTTAGTCACTTACTTTACTTACCTTACTTAGTTACTTTACTTACTAACTCAGGTCAGTTTACCGTTCTGTTACTTAATTTACTTACTTAGTTACTTTACTTACTAACTCAGGTCAGTTTACCGTTCAGTTACTTAATTTACTTACTTAGTTACTTTACTTACCTTACTTAGTTACTTTACTTACCTTACTTAGTTAATTTACTTACCTTACTTAGTTGCTTTACTTACTAACTCAGGTTAGGATGACCATTCAATTACTCACTTTACTTAGTTACTTTACTTACTAACTCAGGTCAGGTTGACCAATCAGTTACTCACTTTACTTAGTTACTTTACTTTACTTAGTTACTTTACTTACCTTACTTAGTTACTTTACTTACTAAGTCAGGTCAGTTTACCGTCCAGTTATCAAACTTGAACAGATAAAATTGCACTAACAATCTAAACAACTTCATTTATTTTATTAAACTTTATGTAACTATATTTATAATCAGCAGCAGAGTTGGTGGACTTGGACTCGGACTGCAATTATGAATAAACTCGGACTCGGTTGAACTTTTACTCGAACTTGACATGGATTCGGACATTTTGGACTCAAGAACTTTTCTGAGTGCAGACGAAACCATGTCACATGTAACATGAAATGTAAATAAGTAACAACATAAAATTATAATAAAAAGACATTAATAAATGTCTCCCATACTGAATTGGTTTAGGACTAGGACTCTATTCGGACTCGACAATGTGAACTCAGACCGAACATTAATCAGCAGTACTTGACAATCAGTATTCATTGTGCATTAAGTTATGAATTGAATAAATCAGTGAATCTTTTTTATTATTCATTGAAATGAACTGTTTTGTTAATTCAGTCAAAACTGACAGTGTGTACACTCATTACCTCATTAGCTTTCTTTGATGTTATAAAGTGGTTGTAGTGTTCAGTCATGCTACACTGCTGCCGACAAAATAGCTTGTTATTGGAAAAGCTATAGTTTTTTAAAAAACACATGAGCTACTGTTAAAAAATGCAGTTGAGTTAGTAATGCTGCTGCTTTTAGGATGTTGCTCCTCAACACTGATTACAACCTGCACATGTACAGTATGTGTACAGTAACACATCCATCATGTAAACGCTTCGCTGACTAATTATTGTTTTGCCTGCAGCCAGCGGCAGCTGTGTCGGACTGAAACTCTAGGGACATGAAAACACAGATTTCCCATGATGCAACACGACACTGGCACCAGCACCAGCAGTGTTGTAAAGATGATGTCAGTAGGAATGTCATGATGATTGTCAGTAGAGTTATTCAGGCAGAGCGCTCAGCTGATAAGAGTCATGCATCACTTTGTGTTCATTCATTTACATGCTGTGTGTGTGCAATTGAAGATCAAAGGTTAAGGGCAGTGTCTTACGCTTGAAAAATACTTGTACAGACTTAATGACTTATTAGTAGAGAGGCATTAAGGTTGTTATACTAAAACAATACAAAAAAAATGTGTTACTCAAAATAAATAACTGAAATTAAATAAAATATAAAAAAACCTTAAACATGGCTAGTTGCCATTTGATGTACTAAAATAACTAAAATACAAATTAATTAAATTATATAGACATAATTTAAAAACAACAACATGTTTAAACTTTAAATAAATGAAAAAGAAAATGGACAATATAAAAATAAAAAATAATGGAAAATATTAATAAAAATAGTAACTCGGTGGTACTAAATGCACAATGGGATGCACAATATATAAGTATCAGCCGATATTAGCATTAATTAAATATTGTTATTGGTGTGATTATAAGCATGATACTTTTCATTATTTTTATAACATTTCTAAAATTATTTTTAATATTATGTTTCTGAACTGTGTGTGTGTGTTTGAGCCAGTGTTGTTTTAATATCATTGATATACTATTATAGTTTTTGCTCATATTTTAAATTGTTTTCATTTTAATTTTAGTTAAAATTTTAGTGGTTTTGTTAGTAAATTAGCTTTTTTTAATATGCATATATAGTTTTTAGTTATTTAAATACTTCAACTTGAAGTATGAAATGAGAAATGTATGCCTTGGCAACTAACTGAAATAAAATAATTGTTTTATATATTTTAATTTATTTCAATTAATGTTTATTTATTTTCAAGTATTGAGAATTTTTTTTATGGTGTTAGTTTTAGTTAACGACAATAGCCCTGTTCTAAACAATAAACATTTTTAATCATATTGATCATCAGCCATAACATAAAATTTCTACATTTTTACATTTTCAGAAGAGAATCTGAGTTTTGGTCAGAATGACTATATTAGAAAATTTCTCTTTGTTATTATGCAGGTTTATGTTGATTAAACACATTTTCTGGTTCTCTCCTCAGGCCTGTATTGATGAAAACGCAGATATGGTTGAGTTTCTGGTGGAGAGTGGCAGTGACGTGAGCCGAGGAGACAATGAAGGCTGGACGCCCCTCCACGCTGCGGCCTCCTGCGGCTTCATCCAGATCGCAAAGTCAGTAACGCAGTTCCACAGTCTAGTGAGCTGCCTACCTAGACTACATGCTGCTGTCTTCTTAGATGCCTGAAATTCATATGTTATTCAGAGTACTGATCATTTTAGCTAAATCTAATTCAAATGCACGAAATATTTGTGTTCTATGTGTTTTCAGTCTTGTCAGATTCTATTGGAATCTCCTGTAAGTTGAGTCGCCACTGTTCAAAGTTTACCGTTGCAACATTGTAATGTTTTTTTCTCTCTACCTTCTGCAGGTACTTGATCGAACACGGCGCTCATGTGGGAGCGGTGAACAGTGAGGGAGAACTTCCTCTCGATGTGGCTACTGAGGACGCCATGGGGAGACTGCTTAAAGCAGAGATTAAAAAACAGGGTGAGAGATTCACACCCTAGAAAAAGAGAAAGATGATGGGAATTGGGATTGTAGAAAAACAGAGAGACATCATTGGTGATCATTGTTATTATTGTTTTCATTGGTAACTAAATCTAAAACTGTTAAAAAGGTTTTCAAAAAAATATATAAATATTAATTATTATAAAAAATAAAAATGAGATGAAAAACTCAAATTTGAAGAACTTAAACCTAAAAAAACTTAAATGAAAACATTTAAAATGATGCCTTGGCAAATAACTGAAATATCTTAATTTGAAGTCCTAAAATTACAAAAACTAAAACTGAAAAAAAAAAAAACTAAAGCTAAATAGAAATATTAAAAAAAGACAATAAAATAAAAAGACAAAAGCACATAACAAGATTTCTAAAACTAAAATTAAAATATTATATTAAAAGATTAAAATAAATGCTAATTCAAAATATTAATAAATACTATATAATACTAAAAAAATAACACTGGTTTGCACATATGATCAGTGCTAATTATAAGCCTAATTGTTTCCAGAATGTTTTGTGCTTCATTCACTGAAGCTGCTTACAGATGTAGTCAGAAATTCATGTGATCACATTGCATTTTCTGTGTAACATTAATTTATCCTGGTGCATCAGACACAACAACAGTAAAAAACCACCTACTTGCCTGTCAGTCATTCATGCTAAACTTTACCGACTGCATAATTGTGTTTATAATCAAATAATTTTCTGATCAAAATACAAAAAGTCCTTTCCTGAGGACCTTTCCCGATCCCGCCGCCCTCTCTCTCTCTCTCCCACTTCGCTTCCTGTCAATTCTGATCAGTCCAGTCACAATAAAGGCAAAAAATGCCCCAAAAAGAAAATTATTAAAAAAGTGCTCAAAATAGACCTATTTTTGTACAAAATATTATTTCTTATTTTTCCTTTCAATTTCTGATATCGAACTGCGACATTTCTTTGCAAGATTCCCATTTGAACAGATACAGGTTCACATTATCTGTCTTAAACGCTCCATCTGTCTGATTGTGACCTGCTGTGTTTGATCCTATTAAAACCTTAGTCGACGCACAAGCGCTCACAGAAGCTCACTTTAGATGTGTGTGTGTGTGTGTGTGTGTGTGTGTGTGTGTGTGTGTGTGTGTGTGTGTTGGGAGGTGTTTGTTTG